AAAATCAGAAAAAAAAAGTGACAATTTTTTTTTTTTTGTAATAAAACATTGATTCAAATGCTGTAAAATCATTTACTGTATGCATCATGCATTCTTCAAAATTCTTTAAAATATCTTCTTTTGTGTTCAACCTAAGAAAGAAAATTATACAGGTTTGAAATGCCATGAGGGTGAGTAAAAAATGACAAAATGTTTGAAATGATATTTACAAAAATACAAAATAATATTTACTGTGACTATGATATTACTGTGCTTGATTGGCCAGCCAACATGTCTGACCTAAACCCCATATGGAATCTATGGGATATTTTCAAGAGAAAGACGAGAAACAGTCGATCCAACAATACAGACGAGCTGAAGGCTCAATAGTGCCTCAGCAGTGCCACATTCTGATCGCTTCCATGCCACACCTCACTGAGGCTGTCATTTGAGCTAAGAGCCCAGACCAAGTATTGAGTGCATAAATTAACATACTTTAAAAACTTTTCTGTTTTGCAAATCCTTTTTTTGATTGATCTTAGAAAATATTCTAATATTTTGAGATACTGGATTTTTGACTTTCATGAGCTGTAAGCACTAATCATGAAAATAATATAAAAAAAAAAACGTTTGAAATGTTTTACTTTACATGTAATTAATCTAGAATTTTTCACTTTTTGAAATTAGTTACAAAAAGAACTTTTTCACGATATTCTACTTTTTTTTAGATGCACCTATATACAGTGGGTACGGAAAGTATTCAGACCCCCTTAAATTTTTCACTCTTTGTTAAGAATTCACCAAATCTTACCTTCCTATTTGTCATCATAATATACCATAAAGAACAGGCAAAAGAAAGGCTTTTGCTCACATTTTTGAAACTGCATCAATATATCCACAAGGTGTCAGTATACACACATCAATTAACAACTCAATGTTTTCTTCCAGGCTCCTACAGCCAACCGAGCGGTTAGGAAAATGGATGAATGAATGGATATTGAATACATATTATAATTTTTTGACAGTGTAATTAAATTTTAATTATATATAGTTATTAGATTTTACAAATAAAAGAGAAACAGAACGAATGCTAACAAATTGTTGAAATATAGAGTATTTATAGAAATAGAATGCAATATTTTCATGAATATATCCCAAAGAGATCGTGTAATACTGTGTGTATTATGACTTCATTTACACCTTACATTTTATTATCTAATGAAAATGTCCAACTGAGCTTCTGTTTCATGTTAGTATACTTCACAGTTTCAAACCTATTGTTCCACCCTTCATAAAGTCCTTACTAAAACCAAATGACCTTTGTTCAGTGTTATTCATTCATTTCTAATAATGAAAACCCATAACAGGTGCAAACATTGTATGTGCTTTTATGAGACAGTTTGTCAGTTCTGCTGATCTGCAGCTTAACTGCTGGATCTCTGCTTTCTCACTAATGAGATCTGCTCTGAGTGATGCAATACCGCTGCTTAAGAAAATCAAACACAATTTTTATACATATTACTTGATTATTATTATTCCTGAGTCTGCAATAAAGCATTCAAACCTTGCCAGCTTCAGACACACCACAATCGGTAATACAAATCTCAATAGCTCTCAATTCTGTCTGCATTTCATTCAGTATATGAACAGAAGAAAGCAAAAAGGATACCAATAAAAGGAAAAAGGCAGTGTTACAAGTAATAATATTATTGTTTGATAGACCTAGTGAAAAATTCATGCATTTTTAAATTAATGTATAAAATTGGCATTAAACAGGCACCATGAAGGTAAAAGTCCATAAACTGATACAATATAAACTATTAATCTAATGAAACAAATCATGAATTTATTATTATTGTATGAACCCCATATAAAATGTATCTGATAATAACCATCAGGGCGATGGTTTGTTGAAATCACATCAGATATATTCAGAGAGAAGAAAATCTGAAAGTGCCTCTAATGGAAATTGATTACTGGCTTTGACTGGGTGCAAATATGACACTGTTGTAGCTGTTAACAATTTGCCAGTGCAAGGTTTTGTTCAGGTGGAACAAAGGTGAAAAAGGAAAAGCGAAGCGGAAAAATGAGATGACAATAATCTCTTGGCATGCTTTGACTGGGATCATTAGTGTTGTGTGATTAATTGCTTCCAGGATGCCAAGAATCATTTTAGCCTGCCTACAATTCAATGATACAGTCACATATGATAATTGCTGTTTACTTTATAACAGTGGTTCTCAATCAGCGGTCTGGGGACCAAATAGCAAACTTCTGAGAGGACCACATGACAACTTTAAATGATTTAAATTATATTAAAATAATCTAACTTGATTGAAATGCTTCAAAAAGCACACACACACACACACAAAATCATGGTGTAAACTGAATGTTTCTTTTCTTTTCTTTTATGCTTTTTCTTTTACGCTTTTCCTTTTCCACCTCAACAACTATTGTTTTATTAAAGAACATACCATTCTTGAAACATCCGGAATCACAAAAAATAATTGTGGTTAGTTAATTTAATACATTCATACTCCCAGTTTCTGTCAATAAACATAATTACAATACTGGAAGAAATATTATAGCTGATATGAGGGGACTATGAATTGTATTGGACAGTCCAGTGCTTTATAGCACTGTTATGGTTAACTTTGCCACGCACTCCCCTTGTTGATGTGCTATTTACATACAAAATGTATGTTTAAAAGCATACCTAAGTTAGCAGCTTCTAATCTCACATAGCCAGACTTTTGACTATCAGTATAAAGTCTGGGTCACTTTGCATCATATTCTGGTCAAGAACCACCTACAGAAACAATTTGTCTGACCGACATGAAAAACAACCGGGCGGATTCATCTGATATCATGATATTTAAAATAACAGACTGGTGTAAAGAACTATTGCATGGCATTGTGGGTCCAGCTACAGGCTATGATAAAATTAGAGAAAATTTTGTCATTTGGATTCAGCATTTCTGTTCGTCTAAAAGTAACAAGTCCAAATGATTTCACAGTCATACTCAAAAACAGTCTGATGGGATATACACTTTACTTGCGATAAGTAACATGAAGCTCAGAATACCAAATCCAGAAATGATTTATTCCTCAAAAGTGCTTATTGCATCAATCTTTAAAGTTGTGTAACACCAGCCATCAGAATAAATCTTTCAATATAAGCCAACTCTAGTCATTTTTTGTTTGCAATATGCATCTGGAGATCAGTGAACAGACTGTGGGGGGCCTATAGCCTGAAATTTATGTTCTTGATCTATGTATGAATCTTATACACCTTGATGTATATACCAATAGTGTTTTAAAATGCTCTTTATTATTAGACAATCCACGTGATGTGTTATGTAAAACCCACTGCTTCAATATAAAGGGTTAGAAGTGCTCAGGTCCGGTTACGGCCATGCATTCCATGTCAAGGCTCTTCACTTACATGCCTCCAAAGAAAGCATAGGGTGTGTGCAACTGTAATTATACATAGTCAGCGAGGGATGAAAGCTTTATTTATTTAAAGCAACAGATAAATCAAGAAGTAACTTTCCATAAATCATTAAGAAAATTGAAAGGAAATTCTACACACATGCATATTAGAGGTGAACTGGGGCGTACTATTATTAACTGATGTTATTATTAACTTAAATTTCATGTGCAGTGGTATACAAGAAATGCTATGTGAATCAGGTTCTGGGTTATACAGCACAGTAGAAGAATACATTCACTAGGCATAACCAGACACTACAACAAGTCAAGACTTGTCAAACTGTGTGGGTGGCAGAAGTATCTGTCACAACTGTGGAAATACTCCTCAGACATAGTATTCAGTTGGCTTTCAATTTGTACACGTTTCATCAATGGATCATTGTAAATCTGTGAATATTTTCTGCTCATACAGCCATTCATAGCATAGTTTCTTTGTGTCTGAAATGCTCTGGAAAATAACCTCTGACTCTAATGGGCGTTTAAAAAAGACTCCACTGTTTTTTTTTAATGTGTGGCAGCCTTCACCCCACCCAAGCTGTGGCAATGTGACAGCACCCTGTGACTCCACATCCACCCTTCACAAGATTCAAATGACAAAAGCCATTTCAAACATCAAAACAACTAACAAAAGCCAATCTTAGCCATGCTTTGTCTTCGCTGGTAACAGTATTCCTTTGATAGGATGACACAATGCAAAAGTTGCCTCATCTGAAACAAACTTACACAACTAAACAATATGCAAATTATTTTCACTAAACACTAAATTGTGGATGAATGCGTATAATGTGTGCAGTTTTTCCATTGAAACAGACATCTCTGTGAACATATTATTCAAATAGGCTACTATATTCTGGGGTTTATTTAATATTTAGTATTAATATCAAATAACTTTAAAATTAATTTCAAATTGATGAGTTAGGTAATATATTTTTACTCCTTCAATGAGAATTATCTAATTAAGACAAACCATCAAGCATTGTTACCAGAAATGCAAACTCTACAGCTGTATGTCCCATTATTATTTACGAAATATCAATCTTGAAACGCCACTCAAATCACAGAAATGGAACTAACTGATGTGTAATAAAATGACAAAAAAATTATTTAGCACTGAGGGCAATCAGCAAGTAAAGCAGGATTTTGATAATTCCAGCTGGCCATTCAAGAGACTATGAACCTCAATCACAGCCATTTCATCAGCAGAAACAGGCTGATGGATTATGAGTCTTGTTCAGAAGTCACCAGATAGTACATCTACCGACATATATAAATAAATAAAGAATAGCTAGTCTCCACATATAAAAACGGCACTACAGTTTAAAATAAATTTAAACAAAATATATAGGGCTATATTCTGCTGTACTAGCACGGTAAACTCATATCCTTTGAACAAGACTGGTGTTCTGTGGTTCTTATATAATTTCCCCAGATTTCATTACTTAAAGTGAGGATAAACTTAATAAAGAGCTCTTTCACCGGCTGCTTTCTCGCAGCAGCTGAGTGAAGAAACCTGAGCGCTGATTTCTTTGAGCGCAGAGGGAAGGCAGTAGATCAGTGGATCATGTGATCTGTTTGCATATCAAGGTCGCCATTTTGCAGGAAAGTTTGGGAATTTCGGGAACACTAGAAGAAAGAGGAAGTGTTGCGCTGAAGAAGTTTCGATTACGGACGTGTGCGGATCCAAGACTCCAGGCAGGAGGGAACGGGAGACATGTGTGAACGGGAACCCGTCTGCGAGAGAACTTTACTTGCACTTCAGCAGGGGTTATTAGTATTTCTGCCTTTTCACTTCCATTGCAACAGATCGGAAGCAGTTTTTCCAAATGTTTGTAATGCGATTTGTTGATTTACTACTCCATGCACTCGTCTGCAGAAAGTTGAGCAAAGTTGTATGAAAGTGTCCACGGGGTCCTGCCTTATCTGTGACAGGGTTATGAGTGAAGTGGTCGTTTACAGTTTTTATTTGATTGGAGGACTATTGATATTGAGCTTTCACATGTCAGCCTGACTCGGTCAGTGATCGCCAGTGATTGTTGATCACTACGAAATCAAAGTGAAAGTGATCAGTCATTCATTCCAATGGTTTACAGCAGTCGCAGTTGTGAGACTTTGAATCTTTGAGTCTTGATCATGCCAGTGAGAAAGAAAGGTAAGGTTTCTTTAAAATGTGTATGTATTTAAAATGCCGTGTAACCAATATTTTAGTATATAACTTATAAGTTACGAGAAAAAACAATGCATTTTCTAAATATATATTTTAAGCAACTTTGTTGTGTTTGGCCAGTGTTTTTCAGCAGGGTTTTTATAATGGGTTTTTCAGATGCTCAGAGGGCACTGCTGCTTCTGGACGAATACCGAACTAAACTCAGTCAGACCGGAGACCCTCATCTCAGACGTTCAATTGAGAGAGTCATCAATATTTTTCAGAGTCAACTCTTCCAGGCTCTTATAGGTACGTTGCTGCAAGAACAAACAATGTTTTCCTCAAGGAAGTTTCTTAACACTTGTCTTGTTGTGCTAAGATGGTGGAACAGGTTTGACTTCACCATTATTTTACATGTTTGACATTTTCAATTATGTATTACAGCAACGTTGTTTTTTCTAATAAAGGTGTTTGCACGTAGCAATTTAAATATGTTGTTTTGCTCCTAAAGGACACTTGGAGAAAATTGTAAGGTTTCCATTCTCATGGAAAGCATTATAAAATCTTAAGTTTTACGAATGGAAACTTTTGTTTGTTTTTGAAGTTATGCTTAGTTGTACAATATTTCATCTCTTTTGTAAAATAATTAATCTATTTTACCATTTTTTTTCATCTGTTTCATCTATTTTTTTTTATTCAATATTTCATCTGTTTTTGTAGGCATAGTCGCTATATCATTTTTTAAAGCCCTTTTCCAGTAATCACAAAACATTGTAAAGTAGTGGGATTCCAGTTGTCAGAAAGTGTCTTGGCTTGTATTTGCTGGGAATGTAGTCTAAACATTTTGTGTGCAGTAATTTCAAGTACATTTTTGTCAATTTAAGAAAATCCTTTGAGTTTGCCTTTTAAGCAGGCTCTTTTGGGAGTTTATGCAATTAAGATAAAATGGAAGAGGAAATTGGTGGTGATAAGCATTTTACTATTGAAAAAGTCCAACAGAACATATCCAGAAATAGCTATAAAGATAACTTGGAATGTTTTTGTATATTTGATTTATACTGGCTGCTATGTGGACAGATTTAGTGGGCATCTTCAAAAGAGGTTGTGGTGAGATATTTGATAAATGGATTTTGTAGTGAATTTGTGGCAGTGTACAGTAGTACACTGCTGAAAATGGAAAATGTACTGGTAATTTTCTACCAAGACATTATCCATTGATTTTACAGACATTTCCGTTAACTCTAAAACAATGCAGTGCAAAATTCAAAATGCAGATAAAACACTTGGAAAAAAATCAGTATGTATCATATTAATACAGTACATTGCCCTGTTTTAAATTTTTAGTGTAGCATGGCCTACCCTGTTGTAATTTAGAACATCTTTATATTCCCCACTGGACAAATCAAAGCACAGTGGTGCATACTTGAGTCTTTCAATCCTTAATTAAGAGGCATTTGAAATGCATCATTGCTTCGTTCAGTTTCCAGTAATGCTGTGCTCCGATGGTTACAACTCGGTGCATCCCTACTATTATGTTTCCATGATTTGAACCCCCACTTGTTTAGTTTGTCAATCTACTGTACTGCACACAGAAGAACTCGGTATGTTACATGCATGTTGGCTGCTATGTGTGGGTAAACATGGCATGCATTGCAGCCTACTTTTAAAAAATATTATAAAGATGAATGCAGTATGCTTTTGCAATTAAATTTTGTACTGTTGTATTGAAGGAAGCATAATGGTAAATAGATGGCTCATTCTTGGTGCAGCCATTATTTTTGGTGTAAAATTGAGTAGCAGTATGTAACCATTTATCCATGATGCATTTATCCAAAGCAACTTGTAAAAATTGTGTTGTAATGCATTTCAAGGACAGTCCCTTCAGAGCAACATGCCTTTCTCAAGTGGTCAATTGCAGCATCCAGCAACCATCTGGTTACCATCACTGAACTTTTACTGCTATACCGGCTAGACCTTTTTGACTCGATGTCCCATTAAAAATATACAACTGAACTGTAATTCAGAAATTGAAAACATGTTCATTAGAGAACATATGTAAGTCATAATTTGTATGATATGTCTTTAATGTATTTTTGAATAAATTATTAGATCCAAAAACAAACACACACACACACAAGTGTGACCCTTTATAGTGGCTGATAGTGTAAGAGTACGACTGAAGCTGTCTGAATTTAATTTGGGCTTGGCTTATCTGAAATCTATACCTAAATGTACTACTAAATGTGCACTAGTACTTATTTTATCATTAATTTTTATCATTGTTACTGCAGAGAAGTGTCAGGCTACAACAAATTCCGGTCTTTAAAAGCAATGTTATGGCTTGAAGCCATATTCAGGTTGTAATTTTTAGGTTAAACATCATTAATGTATTCGCACTTGGTCATGTTTTTATGGATTGGATTATCGATTTACACTTGGCCATGCAAATGCATTTTCATAAAAGTTTGTATCTTTGATTCTGTCAACATTTGTTGGGATTATAGTTCTGTTGGTGGCTTATTAATCACATGCATTTGACTATGCAACCTCATAATTCTTTCAGATATTCAGGAATTTTATGAAGTGAGCCTCCAGGATAATGAGAATAAGCCCACAGAGCCGTCAAGCCTTAAAACCAGAGAACTCTTTCCTCCTGTTAATGAATGGAATCTCACTGGCCCTCCCAGTACCACTGCACCAACAGAAACTGTGCCCAGTGTCAATGCCCAAAGCAAAGAGGTAAGCAGAATATTGATGTGTATGCTGCCTCTCAGAACTGCATCTTTGCTCTAGGCATTACGTGGATCTTGAATGTCATTATTGGTTTTAGAGTAATTGCTGGTGTTTGACAATTATTGGTGCGTTCTTTATTCTGTGGAAGCAGGTGTTATTCATGCAATGATTAATTCAAAAACATTTTAATTCTGAAACTAAACTGAACTACCGTGTGGTTTAAACACTTGCAATAGTTGCTACTTATGTAGGAACTATTTTCATTGGCAGATCAGTGTTATATGTGAATGTTATATTGCTTAACTAAAGAACTTTAATTGTATTTGGTGTCTATATTTGTACAAAGGTTATGTATAAGATTATTCAGAGACATTCTTTTGTCATGTCATATAATGTCAATTTCAAAAGTCATGGTAATGATTCAGCTTTGGTGAACCTACTTCAGAAGGTCCAGTACTTGTTAAACTTGAGTTTGAAAGATAATTGAGGATGCAATTGAAGTTCATGATGCTAAGTGTGTGAAGTGTTAAATTTCTGACCAATTTAAGTGTTACTCTAAAATAGTACATGGGAGTTCTGTGGCACTCAATGCAGAACATTAAGAGTTATCTTGTTATTTAATAATGTTAATTTCTCATTTAAATCTGATAAGGGTTGGGGATGCATTTTTCATTTAAATTGTTCACATTCTAAAGAGTGGGAAGATTTTACTTCTGTTGGGATTGGAAGTGATCTGCCACGCTGTGGATAGAGAGTGTTTTAACAATGCATAACACTCTCATTTCTATGAAGTCTCCGATGAATCAGATGAGTGTTTGAACGTAGATGAATTTCATGTCTCCACTGGAATAGAGGATGTAGCTTTGTGGTGTTTTATTATTTCTTAACTTATGTTTCTCCACTGTGATTTTGAAAGCATATAAGAAACAGGAATTGGGTATAACATGCCTTGAAAAATATTTCTGCGTTTAATGCAATGTCATACTCATACATAAACTTATAAAATAAAATGTATTCTTTCAAACATTTTAGGATTTTATAATATATAACCTAATATTTATACTATTAATATTATAATATTAATATTCCCAATTTGTATAGCCTACTTTGTATTTTTGCGTTTTCTAAAGGTTCATATGTTTGTTTGGGGAAAAAAAAAAAATCTCAGATACATTATATCTCAGCATATCACGATCAAAAACAAATCTGCTACTTGATTAGTAACAGATGAATGAGTTCAGCTTTTACATCTTGTTTGCGTATCACCGTCATTGTGATTTGTGTGTTGAATTTTAAGGACCCCGTGTGCTAAGATGGAAAATCGCAAACATTTAGCTATTTTTTCCCCGTTTTATTGCAAAAACGTGAAGTCCACTGGTTGATGTTGAAACGGCAGGGCAGAGGCGTTTTACGCACTCGGTTACCCACTCAGCGACGTGCGGTTGGAGCGCACGGTCCAGAGGTGAGCGGAGCACATTATGCTGCTCGGACTTCCCGTGGTGCTCCTATCAACTTTGAACGCGCGTCAATATGAGTGCAGGCGTCCTCCTCCTCAGCATCCCCTACACACTGCCGTGGAAAGGAAACATGAGGTGATGCAGACTTGACTTCTGAGTATATGGACGCGTACGTTTGCTCAGCTGAGAATAAGTTCCAGTCGTACGCGCAATGCTTTCGTGCATATGCATTCGCATATTTTAGCGACAGGTTTAGAGCAGCTGGAATGAGATGCTAAGAGGTCGCACTCTGAAGAATGGACTGTTTATGTATTGTTAGCACAAAGGTAAGACATCCATATGCATGCTTGCAATGCTCTCCGTGCTGTTTGTCCGGAGTATGTTTCATATACAGATCATTATGATAATATATGACTGTAAGATTAAGATGGACAAATGTGCAAATTCAATAATCAGTGGTTACAGTACTATCGCAAGGATATTCAAATGAGTATTCACAAAGTTTGTTTATGCTCTGTCTGTCTGTTTATCTTGTTCTAAACATTTTCCATAATAGTAGGAAACCACCACATACTAACCCAATAATATGATTACTTTGATAAGAAATTATGCTGTGAAAGGTGATCACAATGTGCAGTGTGCACTGATTAGGCTGTTATTAAGTTAGAAAGTGGTATTCGAGCTTAATTGTTGAATATTTAGGAGGTGTCGGTATAGCTATAGGAAAGAGTTACACAACCACATTTTATAACAAACTGATTCCCTTAAGTTTTCAGGACTCATAAAGGAATTGAATTGAAAGAGGTTGAGACATGCTATGAACAAAAGAGCAGTCAACAACTGGTTGTCCATCACATCTTTAACGTGTATTTGCAGATCTTTGCTGTCAATCACTTGTGTTAGAACTGTCAGCCTCTTTCAGATTAAGAAAAATGGTACACTGTAAATCCTAACAGTCGAATTTATTAAATGAAATGAGTTCATAAATACTCCGTTAATTGCACTTAATAGTTATGTGAACTAGGGCTGTGTATCACCAGCAAAGTCATGATACGATACGTATCACGATACAGAGGCCACGGTACGTATCACGATACATGACTGCACTGAATTTCACCTCAGCAGAATTGAGAAAAACAGCTGTTTATTAAACACTGCTTACTATAGTGCCACTTCTAACTATCGGCAGAGCAGGCAGTTGACCTCTGCATTATGAAGGGCCTCCATAACTGTACCACAGTACAATATAGGTAATGGCATATGTTTCATGTTTACATTGCACTCCCCACCAGGTACAATATTCTGATTGTTTGCATCTTGTTTTTAAGCCCATAAATAATAATGTACTTGTTCTAATAAATGTATATTATAATGTACTCATTCTAATATATTTAAATCATCTTAACATTGCTGGTAGGTTATCATTGCACAAATCAACACACTCTCCACGTTTAAAAAATAAAAATAAAAATGAGAAGAGTTCTAAACTAATGCGCCGTCTTCTCTGTACCTCACGCACACACGTTTAGTCACTCACGCTGCGCGCGCGCACAGACATTCTTTTCAGGGCTGCCCCGCAATTTTATCAATAAAATAGCTTAATCGCTGAAGAGCTACATTATCTTTCTCAACAAGGAGCTGGTAAAGATCGCTAAACTGCAAGCTAACCGCTGTTTTTCAGAAAGCAAGCGCATTTATCCACAGTGGAGAGAGAGCGCGTGTGCACAGGGTTGCCAGGTTGACAAAGATAAGTAGCACATTTAGCAGATATTTCCGTATTGCGCAAGTGTGAAGCTCTGTTTCTGGGACTACGTCTCTTTATATCAGGCAACCCAGTTGTGTTCCTCTGCGGCCAGATTAAACCTTGTTGTAGCCTATATATGCTCTATTCATTCTTTTTTTTTAGAAACCTCGCACTTTTCTACTCAATTTTAAACGTTGTAAAATTTTAAACAAATTAAGCGTGGTCCACTGCTGCACACGTGCCACAATATCGATACAGGGCCAGCTGTGTCTATACTCGTATCATCAAATCTCTGTGACGATACATGATCGTATCGATATTTTGAACACAGCACTAATGTGAACTCAATAACTGATTATATTAAGCAGAACTCAAACTGAATAAGTTACAGTATATTTCTATCTTCCAGCATGCTTTGTTTGAGATTAAATAGAGTAAATTATATAAATTCACAGTACTCATAACCATTGGTTTCTAAAGTTAAATGAATTGAGGCAATCGGTTTCCTCAATTGAAATGAGTTATCACAACTCATTGGGTTTTACAGTGTAGTGTGGTTGGAGAGAGAATGAATCAAAACTCTTCTTGAGTGACCAAGTGAAGGAAAAAGAACTAGGAAAAAAATCTAGACAGCATTTTTTGGCTGCACATCTGAGAGCATGAAACCAGCAGGAGCTGCCTGACACTTTGGAATAAAAATTAGAATAATAAATAAAAAAAAATGAATCATTAAAGATGCATTACAAAATCTTGATCTTTCCCACTGTTATCTCTCACAACAAGGCTAATGCCAGTTCGAGATGGGAAGCAGTTACCTGTTGATACAGACATTATTTAATGTTTTTCTGTGTGCTGCTGTATATTTAGGACAATATTTCTGTGTCTACTTATTTATATAAAGAATATTTAAGGATGAGGGCTCCCATTTCAATCTGGCACAAATGTGTGTCACATTAGAACAGTGATCATTAGATTCATTTGAGGGTGTTCTTACCTGAATGTGATCAGAGTACCCTTCAGTGGGTGAAATTTGTAAAAGGCAGGGGCGTAGCCATCATTTCAGAAGTGAGGGGGACACATACATATTATATATATATATATATATGTATGTGTATATATATGTATATATGTGTATATATATATATATATATATATATACACAGTGGGTACGGCAAGTATACAGACCCCCTTAAATTTTTCACTCTTTGTTATATTTCAGCCATTTGCTAAAATCATTTAAGTTAATTTTTTTTCCTCATTAATGTACACACAGCAGGACACGTCCCCCGCGTCCCCCGCGTAATCTACGCCCCTGGTAAAAGGTGTTTAAAAGGTAAAGCTGTTTATCATTCAATGCCAATTATGATCACTCATCACCATAACAGAATGCTGGAGTGTTTTTAAGACCCAGCCATCTGGAAGTACTGAAAGAAATTAGCATAATGAGATCATACTCTACTACTGATTTTATCCGTCACCAGAATTTATTTAACTGGCTAAGTGTGTTTAAGCACACACCTGCGTCAAAGAGTCCTCTAGAATTCAACAGTTATTATCGCAGGTTTGCAAGTAAAGAGGATGTTTGCTGAGTGCAGAGCACTTGCAGTGTCTGAACACTTACAGGCATGCTCTTGAAATGTGCTAAAATGATGGTTATATAATCTGTGGAGTGCATTACATTTGTCGGTAGTGGCAAAAGCACAACATCTGTGCTGCTGTAAATGCACAGCCATGACCAGCCCTCCACCTGAAGGCAAGGCCCAAGGGTCTCTTTTAAAGCCTTGCATGCTTAAGCTTCCATAGAC